CATGGTTTTTATCTTCTAAAAATCGTTCTAGGCGTACGATTAGTTCCTGCCTAAGCGCTAGGCAGTGGTCACTGGTCCGGCAATTAAAGTAATGTCTGATTTACAATGCAACATTTATTATTGTTCAATACAAAAGTCTGATCATGTACACGTGATATCTCTACAATTGTATAAGCATGAATATTTTTAGGGGTATTATGGTACTAAGGAAAATGTTCGTGTCTTTTTTTGCATTGGCCAATCATACCGGATGCATATTAGGTTATACAACTTGAAGGAGTTTTCGGTTGTCACGGTGCAAAGGCTCACGGTGTCAAACTTGCCGTTAGGCTTAAAGCGAGGATATTTGACTATTCTCGGTCATCACCTATACGAAGTACTTCGTATTTCACCTGCAACCTTCCCTTTTCTTCTTTTCCGTTCAAGAAAGGCCTGCAAGCAGCCGCTTTCATGATTTTGAAACTGTTATTTGGATGCTCAGGAGTCCTCTATTATTCATCTATAAATATCTGGCACCTGCTATGTAGCATTTTTTTTTAAATTCTTGACATTGTTTTGTAAGTTCTTTCTAATAGTTTATATTAATTAGGAATAATTATGTATTTTGGAAACTTCCTTTTATTATAAATATACCTGCCAGGGCTCCTATTGGAGTACGGCTTTCCCATTATTCTCACATGGTATCACGAGCCTAACCTAATCTCCCCTTCTCTCTCAAATTTTTCGGCCGCCTCATGAGTTCCCCCATGACTTCGGCCGCAGCAGTGGCTTCGACCACCATGGAATCGTCCGTCGCGGCCGTCATCACCACGGCGCCGGCAGTCCACTTCCCCACCTCACCCATACCGACGGCATCTATACCCTCTTCCTCAACTCTTTTTACAAATTTTCCACCGCCGCCGATCTACTCTATGGCTGAACCTTACAGCCTCTTCCAGTCGATGCCACCTCACTTCCCGGGTCAGCCACCTCTTTTTCGGCCTTCTATACCGGCTTCTCCCACACCGCCGCCATCTTCTCCGTTTTTTGGCTCGACGTTCTCCGGAACCACAGGCATCATTCGGCCGCCTGACCACACTGGTTTTGGTTCTCCTATGTCGGCCCTTGCTCAGTCCGTGTCGCATATTACCACGGTCTCTCAAATTGTTACCATCAAGTTGAAGGCGGTGGAAGATTATCTCACTTGGCGCACTCAGTTCGAATCCTTCTTGGTTTCTCAAGGCTTATTTGGTATTGTTGATGGATCAATTGAGGTACCTCCTATGCATACAGTATGGTAGGTGCATTACAGTATTTAACTTTGACTAGACCTGATATTACTTATGCAGTTCATTTAGTGTCTCAGTTCATGCATGCTCCACGCACTCCTCACATGCTTGCTGTCAAGCGCATATTTCGGTATTTACAGGGTACTATTGATCATGGATTATGGCTTCAGGCTTCTACTCATCCCATTCGTCTTTTGGCCTATTCTGATGCTGATTGGGCAGGATGTCCTGATAGTTCTCGCTCTACTTCTGGTTTTGCCATTTTCTTAGGACCGAATCTTATATCATGGAAGTCCAAGAAGCAGTCTACTGTGTCCAAGTCATCTACCGAGGCCGAATATCGAGCAATTGCATACACAGTACAGGATACCCTTCACATTCGTTCCATACTTTTTGAGTTGGGTCTACCGATTCGTATTCCTGTTCAGCTATTCTGTGATAATATATCAGCTTCATATCTGACAGCTAATCCGGTGCAACATGCTCGAAGTAAACATATTCAGATTGACTATCATTTTGTTCGGGAAAGAGTTGCTCATGGTGATTTGGTTGTTCAATACGTTCCTACACATCTCCAACTCGCGGATATTTTTACTAAGAGTTTAGCTAGTCAGCAATTTCATTTTTTAAAAGACAACCTGCGCGTTGTATCTCCCGCACAGTTTGAGGGGGTGTAATAGTTTATATTAATTAGGAATAATTATGTATTTTGGAAACTTCCTTTTATTATAAATATACCTGCCAGGGCTCCTATTGGAGTACGGCTTTCCCATTATTCTCACACTTTCTTCTCTTCTAATGATTTATATATTTCATTAACATTTAAATCCAATTCATTTCTAAATTAGCATAGTTGCTTTACCTTGCACTTGCTTCTTTGCTTCTGTATTGTTTGATTGATTTAATTGCCCTGCGTTTATATTCCTTGCTTATTTCTTTGTATCCCTTTCTGTATCTTGATTGCTATGTGGAGTGTTCTAGGTAACTACCTCACATTAACTTACAGTTGGAGGCTGTTTTTTCTTCTCATTTTCACCTCCTTTTGGTTTGCTACTATGTTAAATTCAGTGTTTATGAAATGGTGAGGAATCCCATTTCAGACATGAGATGGCTACCATTATACTTTTCAGCAAGAAAAAAATGCAGGTTAGTAATAACATTGCATATTGCTTACCCAATTTGCCCCATTTTAATTTAAACTTAGTTGAGCAAATGTGATGGTACTTAAGTTTTAACTTCGAGCTATAATCTTTTGTTCATTAGTTCAGGAGAAATCGTGATTTTGATGCTGATACATCTGATTCCAATAATTTTGCCTTGTTTCTTTCCAAGTGGGTAGGTTTTATATCATGGAATCAACCATCCTTGCTCTCTCTCTCAAAATAACCAACAAACAATGGCTTCCTTTTCTTAACAAAAGAAAGACTAACTTATGCATTTAGAATAATAAAAATCCTAAAGCATAACTACTTAAGAAACTCTGTTAGTTTGAAATGCTCGTGTTTTACTTTTAGTTTTAAATTTTGTAGAATGATTGCTTTTAAAGCAAACACAATTAGCTACGGAGTATTTTTCAATGGGACAAAACATTGCTTTGTCTAGCACGTGTAAACCATTATGCTGCTTTGAGTTTAAGTTTAAAATTCCATTCCATATACTCTAATTATATATTACGGTTAACCCTTTGTCATTTTCACATCCATCACTTAAGATGGAAGGTTTTAAACTTTTTTATCATTTTCAAACTTGCTGCTTTAAATGGTTTTAGTTTCTGTTCCATTACATTCTATTATTACGAAATGGAATTCTAATATCAATTTAATGACTTTGAACTACCATATGTTCTTCATACTTTATTTCTTTTTAAATTTCATCAAAACTTTCCTGCATATTTTGTTGTCATACTTTATTTCATCAATATTTTCCTGCATATTTTATATTCATATGTTCGTCATACTTTATACTACTTTCGTTTTTTTTTTAATCTTCACAGTTTGACTTCACACAAAATAAGGAAATAAATTTGACTTTACTGTAGAGTACACTGTTGAGGCACTGTTTGACACTGTTTGGCACTGTAGAGACACTGTTTGGCACTGTTTGACACTGTTTTGATGTAGATTTCTTTGCCAAAAAAGGAAATAAGGAAGTGTGAAGTTTATTTTAGACCGTCCCAAAAAGGAAAGTGTGAAGTTTATTAAAAACCGGAGGGAGTGTCTTTTAATGCTTTCACTTTCTGAGTTAAAGTTTAAATTAAATGTCTTGTCTTTTAATGTGCTTATTTTATCAGCAAAATCATACACTCACATCGCCAAACTTGGATTAAAGTTTAAATTTGTTGTCTTTACTGATTAAGATTCCTTATCAATACATAACAAACTAAGTATTCAAATATTGTATCATAATTCATATTGACTCAAACTAAATCGGGGAATTAATAGCCCTACAATAGCCTTGGGCATTACCACGAACGCGCAATGCGCGTTACTGAACTAGTAATAGAATAAACACATATAGTGACTTGTCATTATAGATGACAAACACGTGATCATGTTTGTGGGGATCTTCTACCTTCTTTCTTGGAAGTTGATGAGAGATATCTGACACCTTCTAGGAAGGAGCCATCCAACATTAAGGTACTTCCACATCCCTTCATGAAAGTTGCTCGGAGATAGCTAGGAACCTCCCTAGCAATGTGAATGGAAGCTTGGAAGTTGGATGCAACTTCCTCATGCAATAGGGAGTCCATTGTTGTTCATGAGCATCGCTTTCTAAAGTAAGAAAAATGTGTGAAGAGTGAAATACACTTGGAGTAGGAGTGCATTAGTGAGATTGATTTTTTGTAATAGTTGAGTGTGAGAGTTTGTTCCTCCTATTATAATTTTGTTTTTGATATTGAATAGAAGAATTTTCCAATCCCAACAATGATGTGTTGATTTTTAATTAGTACTTTTTATTTAAATTGTCATATACTAGTATACTACGTATAACTTTTATATCCAAACATTGATTTAATGCACCAAACTCTCTCATGATATAGAAATTCAGTGCATTAGCTCCGCGTGACTTAAAATAATCTGCAAACCCCCATCTATTATAATTATTAATGATATAATGCACAGAACCCCTTTAATGAATAAATTGAATAATTTGGAAATCACTCATCTTCATATTATTACTGAACATGTAAGTCTGTCTAAATCCCAACATTATACATAAATGCTAATAATTTTTACAATTGAATTTATTCATAGTAGAGATTCTACGCATGAGTAATTATAACACAGAAGAGTTTGAAACATTTTTAAAATCACATGAGCTAATGCGTTGAATTTCTATATGAGAGGGGGTTTGGTGCATTAGACTCATCTGTACATTGTGTTTGACATTATGAAGAATTGAAAATAGTTAAAAATCACCGCACCAAGGAAAAAGAGGGATAAATTAATTCATCATTCGCATAAATCTAGATTACGAATTAACAATTGTTTAACGGAAAAAACAACTTGGGTACGTAATAAGTATTTTTAACAGTTCATTACATTAAAACATAGTTTTTGGAAAGAATAGTACCACTCAATCTGAGATCTCACAAACATGAAGGATTTGGTTAACACGGTTATCTTTTTAGTACGTAGTACAAGATTCGAATTCTCAATCTCTAAAGACATGGTGATATCTCTAGATTAAAGTTTAATTGTTATTAAAACCTCATTATGACTTGTGAAAAATTAAAGATTCCATTAGTGTACACACATCTCAACATTCCATTAAACAAAGAATTATTACAGCTATTAGGTGGTTATGCATCTCTATAAATAGCTCTTTACCCCATCATTTCTTCTCATCACACCTTCTTTTGCCATCCTATTCTTACTCTCATCCTTAATTTTTAACTCCCAGTTAATTAAGCACTTCAAATGGCTGCTAGTGCTCAGGTATATGTATACATTATTTAAATTTAAATCTCTATTGCTCTAAATTAGCTGCTCAAATGGATCCTTTTAGCGCTACTAAGCTAGTTTAAGCGTAGTTTGTTTATTTAGTGCAACATGAAGATTTGAGCGGCTTTATTCTCTTTTTGTGTGCATGAAATTACATTGATATCAACAATCTATGCACTTCACAAAAAAACATACATAGTATATTAGTAAAGAAGTTTACAATAACAATCGATCTCAACTCATTAATTAACCAATTCATAAAAATGAAACGTGAGCTAATGGGGTTTTCTTTATGTTACGTTAGTTTTTTTTACATGTTCAAAGAAACAAAATATATAAAAGTATTGTAGCATATACTTAGTACGATAGTATTAATTAGCAACATCATTATATCAGTAGTTTGTTTATCCCAAACTTATTTTTACTAGAAATACAATTTAATATCAAATGTGTTTTGTAAGGTTTTTACAAAGTATTAATAATGCTCATCAAATAGAATCCTATACTAAAAAAAATAGACATTTAAAGATCATTTGTCAAAAATCACCAATGGTTGCAAATCAGGAAGTATTGGTTATGGAAAAAATATCAGTGATACTTTCAAAACATCATAAACATTTGAGAAGTTTGGAGATAACTTGATAAGCACATGGTACCTGTAATGAAGAAATATTCATACACTTTGGTTTCAAAATTAGTATTACAATTAAATACATGTACCTAAACTTAGCTTAAATTACACATAACCATGTATACTTATTAAACAAAAAAACATCTTGAACATAATATGTATAGATATATAGTCTAGCCCATTTTATACGTAGTACTACGTATGTTCTACTACGTAATAGTTATCCATGTAATTAATCTAATTCTTTTATCAATTTTTAGTCATATTCAGACTCTTTTTTAAATGATAAGAGAGATCTTAAAAGATTGAATGTGGACTTCAACAACCCATGTTTGAGGAGTTATACACATACATAAATTAAAATCAATCCCAATAATTTTTATCAGTTTCGTGAAATAAATCAGCATAACAAAAAACACTTCAGGTAGCAATTCATTTTGTGAAACGTTTAACGAGGTGCGACTTTTGTTATAATTAAGTTTCTTCCTTGTTGGTGATTATTTTGATAAAATGTGCAATCATATGAATTATTGATCTAATGTCAACTTGTCTTTTGCTTTTAATAATAAACACATTATGAACTGTTTGAGGGAAAAAAATGTAATGTGATATTAATTGTCGAAAACTATATCAGTTTTTTTGTGTGAAAATGGTTGAAAAACAAGATATTGATCTCTATGTATATAAAATATAAATTTGCAGGTTGAATCAATTCCCACAATAGGAACAGAGAATGTTCCAGTTGATGTTGAGGTGAACACAACCAGTGAGGCTCCAAGGGAAGAAGATGTGGCCCCACTTATTGAATTAGAAACTCCCCAAGATGATCAAGAAGAGGCTGAAGATAGCAAAGAAGTGGTGGATTCTGAAGCTGAAGAAACAGAATCAACTGATACTGATGAAGCAAACTCAGAAGAAACGGTTGCCGAGGAAGAAGAAAGTCATGCTGATGAGACGGTGGTGGAAGAGGAAACCGTGGTGGCTCCGACTGCTACTGCTTAGGTTGTGGTGGCCGGAATCTGTTGGCACAGAAGTTGCAGGCTAAAGGGTATTTAGATTCAAAGATTGGGATAATGGATTTCTAATACTCAGGGCCGTTTTTTAGGGGGTTCAATAGGTTATCCGGAACAGGGCCCCCGAATTTATGGGGCCCCAAAATTTTAAATTTCTTTTAGTATTATAGAGTACGGAGTAATATTATATACTCCCTCCGTCCCAAAATTAACTTCTCACTTTCCTTTTCGGGCAGTCCCGGAATTAACTTCACACTTCAAAACTTTCCTTATTTGGAAAATAATCTACATCAAAAAAGTATCAAACACTGCCAAATAATGTCCAAACAGTGTTTAAACAGTGCAAAACAGTGCACTCCACAGTAAAGTCAAATTTATTTTCTTAATCTGTGTGAAGTCAAACTGTGAACTTAATTACGGGACGGATGGAGTATTAATATTAATCAGTACAATACAATTAGTAAGGAAGAAAAATATAGATGCATGTTTTTTTCGTTGGTCCTTTTACTCTTTTTAGTTCTTTTTAATGAGTATTCAATTGATTTGAGTATAAGTATTTGGATTGATATTTTTTTTTAAAAAAAATATTAATTTGGGGCCTCGATTTTACATTTAGAACCGGGGCCTCCAAATTCATTAGACGGCCCTGCTAATACTAAATCTAATACTGTTATAGCTATTATTGAAGTTACTACTACTCTCATCATCATCATCATCATCATTATTATTATTATTATTAAAGACTATGTTTAATTTGTATTTGTAATGTGTTTTCTGATGTTTGATCATTGATGATAGTATTTACTACCTCCGTCCCGTTGGAATGTTCCCGTTCGGTTTACGATGTTTGACTGACGATAAAGCAACTCGATCTCTGTTCACACTCCGCTTATTTTTAGTAAATAAAATTTACATATTCAGAAACTACATTAAAACCGCTACAAAGCCTGATCAAGAAAAGTTCAATTTGATAAAAATTTGATATATAAAGTAAAAGATTAGGAGTGACCTAAGTTGACCAATGAATAGTGAACGAGAACATTCCAACAGGACGGAGGGAGTAGTTTTTAAGATTATGTTTTTAATGTATGATTTATGTGGTTTGATAATATCGTGATTCATGGAATGTCAATGGCATATTAGTTGGTAGCTCCATGTATAAAAGGCATTACTAACAATGAACCCAAATAGTCTCATCAAGGGCCAATTGATTACTACGTACTAGCCTCATCTTTTGTTTTTAAACGCTTCTAAGCGAGTATATTTTTATACAACAACAACATTATGCAAACCTTAATCTCAACAGATTTTGGGGTTGGCTAAGTGTTTTTATCTAAGGGAGTTTTTTTTATCAATACTTCTAAGCGAGTATTTTTTTTATAAACTATAAAAATATAAGATTTGTGGGAGCTGAATATTTTAGCTTTTCCTTCATGTAACATTTTCTCTATTTTATTTAATATACTCCCTCTGTCCCATTTTATAAGATACCTTTACTATTCACTCGATCAACACAAATCGCTCTTAATCTCTTACTTTATATATCAAAATTTTATGAAAATTGAATTATTTTTTGCAGGTTTTGTAGCGGTTTATTTTAATGTAATTTCTGACTATGTAATTGTTTTTCTAAAAATAATTTGAGTGCAGACATGGATCTGTTTGCTTTATCGCCGGTCAAACATCGTAAATCGAAAGGTATCTTATAATTTGGGAAGGAGGGAGTATATATTATGAGGGTGCGTGAATTTGCAATTTTAAAAATATTACTACTTCAAAGAGAGGAAGAAAGTTGAGTCTTTGAATGAAAGTGTAATCAGTAAGAGTAAAAGTTGATTAAGATACTTGATTCATGTGTAATCTAACTCATTCAATTCTAATATACACTATTTACCTTGAAATCCAATTATAAATGCAAAACAGATGTAAAGCTATTATTATTACTATTAGCTAATACATGATCATAATCAATACATTATGTTTTTCTAGTAACTTTACACAAAGAAAAAGCAATTTGCAACAACTTATTCCAAATGTTCTAAAATGACTTCATTTCATAAATCAAAATGAACTTAAAAAACTCTAACCAAAAACACTGCTAAAAGAAGCAAAAGTAGAAATAGAATGAATTTATTTCCGTTTTAACTAAAAATTCAAAATTTAGCAAATTTAACAAAGTAGAAATAGAATGGATTTATATCCGTTTTAAGCCAAAGGAACCACAAATTTAGCAAATTTAACGGAAACAAAACTAGCCAATTTAGTGTTGTAAAACAGTCTCTAGCCTTCCTTCTATTGCTCCAGAGATCATGACCTATATATCCAGTTTCGGGCCAGTTCCGGTCCCTACCAGTCTCGACCCCGTTTTTTATACTCCCTCCGATTCAAAAACAAGTTCCACATTTGACTTCACACATATTAAGAAAAGAAATTTGACTTTACCGTGAAGTGCACTGTTTGACACTGTTTGAACACTGTTTGGTACTGTTTGACACTGTTTTTGTAACACCGTCCCCAAATGTATTTACCTTTAAGTGAATAATGTATTGAACCTTATGGGATGGTTAATGAGTATACGAAGTTGTGAATTTTTAATATTTCTTTTGCGTGAATAGTAAATTCGCCCGTTGGGCCCACGCCGGGAGCGGGGTCGCCCGATATTCCCGAGACCGTATATTTAACTCACCTTGTTCGAAATAATATTTATATAGGGGTGGATAAGTTATTTGGTCCAAAAAATGTCATAATGTGGACCGATTGGTCAAAAGCGGCTCAATTACCGGTATTGGTAATTTAACCGATAATAGCCCGAAATGAATTTCGGTGACTTATAAATTAATGTTGGGAAATGTATATTCATTATAAGGGTCATAATGATTGGAAACACATAATATATTTTATTTGACCCGATGAAATAAAATATATTTAAAACAGTCCGAGAAATACAACTTTCGGGACCGATTGTACACTTCTGGACAAAAAGGGTTGACCTCCCACATGTGTGGGGGCCAACCCACGAATTTGGCCATACAAAAATCAAGGGGTGGGCGGCTGGAATGGAAAGGAGGAGGTGGGAGGTGTTGGGGTTGATTAGAAGAGCATCAAAGGTACATTAATTGGACCCTCATCCTTACTCATTGGATCAAAGAGACAAAAACCAACCTTCACCCACTCTCTCCCTCATTTCCTGCGGCCTGCACACTCCAAGCAAGAGCAAAGAGTCCTCCATCCTCCCTCTCCATTGTTGAAGAGAACTCTACAAGGAAGAATCCCAAGGAAAGGAGCTAAAGTGCTAAAAGTGTGAAAGGATTAAGGTAATGACCTTATCATAACTTTTCCTTTATTTTTCTTCTGAGATATATATCATATGAGGAACTTTGAGGATTGTTCTACATGACTTAAGTGTAGAATGATGGGTTGGAAGGTAGTTCTAAGTCCAAAAACGGACTTAGGAGCCAAACCGACAAGTTCACCGGAAAATAACCTTTTAGAGGTTATTTGTATTGATTAAGGTTTTATGATGTTAAAACCTTGTTAGGAACTTGATTAAAGTATTTTTGAGCTTCGCCGGAGTTTCGCCGGAGTTGGTCAAAGTTCGCCGGAATTAGTCAAAGTTCAATCGGGAAGCGTAGAACGCGCTTAAGCTCACTTAAGGTGAGGATGACCGACTATATTGCTTATAATTATTGGGTTAATTTCATGAGATTACCTAAATGAATTAAATGTGTTTGACATGGTTTATAAATGATAAAAAGTGCCTAAATGAAATTAATATTGTTTGTAAGTGAAAATGCATAATGTACAAATTTATGAATAAATTGTGTATGATTATGTGTTATGAATAAAATGGCATGATAGTTGTATTAACCATGAATGTTCATTGTGATAAATATACTTTTACCTCATGTAAAGAAGTCATGGAAGGATAGAAGTGATATTTTGATATTAGAGTCAAACTATACTTGAATGTGGAATTAAATTGAAATATACAAACTATTATGAATTTGCATTGGTTATATTAAGATCAAACGACTAGTATAGAAATACTAGTCGGAAATGTTAGTTCAATAGTTCTTGGGAGCTAATCCCAAGATATTGGAGCTAAGTAACCTTAAAGGATATTTTTTTAAGGTGAACTTTATGAACCCAAGTTACATTAGGAGTAAGCCTTAAGGGTTACTCAAATGGATGGAGCCTAGACTAAGAAATTGTTTAGGATTAGATGACGTGACTATGAGCCGAGCTCTAGCACGTGGTAGTATGACTATGAGCCGAGCTCTAGCAAATGTAGTATGACTAAGAGCCGAGCTCTAGCAAATGTAGTATGACTATGAGCCGAGCTCTAGCAAAATGTAGTATGACTATGAGCCGAGCTCTAGCAAAATGTAGTGTGACTATGAGCCGAGCTCTAGCACAAATTAGCATGACTATGAGCCGAGCTCTAGCATGAAGGAACGTGAGTTGATTATAAAATAATAACACCCTAGATTGAGGGTCTTGGAAATTGAAACTTTGATTATACTTAGTATAGTTGTCATTATACTTGTCAAATGCTTCCAAGTACTGACCTTCCCTTCACGGGGGAGGCCACCTCACAGTTTCAGGTAGAACTTGAAGGTTGCTACCATCGCCGTTGCTTTCGGGAAGTTCCAAGGAGAGGAGACGTGGTTCGTGCTTCCTCCGTTTCCATTTTTACAAACCATTTAATTAATGCTCATGGATATTATTTTTAAATATTTATTTGGGGGCTTGTATGCCCATGTTTGTCAAGGTGTGGCATGAACACTTGTATTGAATGTTTCCGCTGCTTTGAATGAATATTTTACATTATGTTTGTTTATGGATGTACTATGTGTGAACGATATTCCAGACGCCTTGTATAGTATGGATGTGTTGGACTGCGGTTGACTATTCGTACTGTACGGCGGATTGTTGACGTGTCCAGGTAGGTCCGGGGCGTGACAGTTTTGATGTACATAATTTGCCAAATAAGGAAAGGTTTGCAAGTGGAACTTAATTTTGGAACTGCCCGCAAATAGTCATGGACCCAGGTCGGGTCGGATCGGGCCGGGCTTAGGCCCGGTCGGGCCTCGGTTCTTTTGAAGGTAGACCCGGGACCGGCCCGTGCTATGGCCGGTGCCGGTTCGGGCCGGGTCACCCGCCCGGGTAGCGGGCCGGTCCGCCCGCCGGGCCGGTTCGGGTAAGTATTTTTTTTATAGTTTATACAAATGCTTATTGAAAACATAGTACAAGTGCATTTATTTGAAATAGGAACTACATTTGAGAATTGAGAAAAAAATACAATATGAGATACATTTTCTAATAAATATCAATCGGAATTTTCGCCACCGTTGGTTATTGTTTTCATGTTTTGCCTAATTGGCTTTGTCACAGGACTCAATATGTCTTCTAAGCATCTTGTATCCATGTGAACGCCCCAAGCTACACTCTCTCTTGCACCATTTGCAAGTTGCCCACCAAAGCCCGGTCTTCAGGTTCTTCCACATATCAAAATTCTTTTGCATAAGGGAAGATTTACTTTCCATCTTTAAAATTGTAGATGTATAAGTAGGAATGTAGGATAATAATAGAAGATGACGATGTAGAAGAGTAGGAGAAGAGATGTAGAAAAATGTTAGAAAAAAAATGTATTTATAGATTTTTTTTAACCCCACACCACCACCCCAGGGACCCCCCTGCCCGCTGCCCCCCACCCAAAGCCCCAACGGCTATATAGCCGTTTGGGAGCTGTTTTGTTTTTTTTTAATTATTATTATTTTTTTAAAGTAGCCGTTGTG